GCAAATTTATTTTACAGTTGCCGAAACTTCATTAAGTAATAAAAAACTTACAAATCAAAATTAAAGTGTACTTCTTTTATATTTACTCGGATTTTTCAAAAGATGATTCATATCTAGAACAAAAATGAACATGACTGATTTATTATTCAATTTTATTTCAATGAAAAATATTAAAATATCTCTAATGCGATGCTGATTTCATAAAAAAGTCCCTGAGCTTTCGTTTTTACTTCCTTGCACGAAATAAAGGATGTACTGAAACCGCGAAAAGTTTGGTCTATCAAATTTCAACGGAAATATCTATTTCGACCGTTCTCGAATTCATCTTAAATATTTCTTTTCCTCTACGTCTGTACGTAAAGATAGAATAGAATAAAGGACTCTTTATTCATAAATGTATTGTAAAAGTGGAATTTTCTTAGCCGTAGAACGTTGAAATTTTGTATATGAGAGTGCTTATAACATCTGGTTGTACAACTCCCAGAAAAATATGAACTGAAATTCCAACTGAAAATGGCAATACCAATGTGTATGTGTGTGTATATATACACATAAGTATATATAAATATATACATACTGTACGTAAGGAGTATATGTGTGTGTGTGATGAAAAAAGAGAAAAAATATAGCAATGTTTTTAGGGCGTAGAACGTAGGTGGCCCATTGAAGAGGAAGAATTTCTGCTAATGCAATCTTCATTTCAGAATCAATCTTCATTTTACTTTCAGTAAACAAGTTACGGCCACAAAAAACTTAGCACGTCACGTGTGCCTATTTCCAGAGCATATATACCATTATTCAATACTACTGCGATAGGAAGAGAATAAAAGCGAAATGAAATGGCATCTAAGCAGCAACAGAGATACGAGGAAAGTAAGCATTTATCCAACATGGCGGCTCACCAAAGAGGAAGGTTTTGGTGTACAAAAATTTCAGTTCTCAAGAGTTTAGGTTTTCAATTAACTATGTCATCAGCGTTACGCAAGCTTTGTAGCACAGATTGATCAAGAAATGAAGCAATCCTGAAATGTTATTATTATTTTTAGAATAAGGAGGAAAGAAAATTGAGAATGAAGAATTAACAGGCTATTATTAAATTAAATTAATAGAGCTGATTTGCATACGATTACAAAATGTTCAGTCGCGGTCCCCTCAAGGAGGGTTTAGGGTTGCCAGAAAATGGCAAAGGAAGGCAGGGCTGCCATATTTGTCAAGAAAAGCCTATATGGCAGCAAAATTGGCGATATGCCATAGAAGGATGGAGAATCTTCTGGAAAAATTTCTTACCGGTTTGGCCCAGAATGTTCTCAAAAGCAGCCTAAAAGCTATATAAAACCTGCTTGTCCGCGGAGTAGCAGTCGATCGTGAGCCTATGGAGTTGTTCTGATATCAGTTGTTGGGTTCTTACGGTTTCGTGGATTTGGAGAGATTGACGATAACATTTGATGAAGAATTAAAACAATTTATCAGCCAGTATATTCAGTACAGCTGTAAAAACACGTTTACACTCGTCGAAAAACTACAACAAACACGATGAAACAATCAACAACACAGCCTTTAAGCTATCAGTCTATAGCGATGGAGATGTCTTTCCTTTAATTTCTCTTCCTTTTAATTCCTTTCTGTTATTTTGCATTTTCAAATGTACCATACTGAACTAGTTTGCAATGCGGCTTTGTAGTGTATTGTACCATATGATTTAATATATTAGCGGATTTTACTTATGTATTGCAACGGAGTTTGTAGACACACTAGTACGGTGGTATTAGATATCTGTGTATAATTTATATTGCAACGTAACTTTTGTATTATAGATTTCTCACATAGAAATTATGGTGTTCAAAGTATTAGGATCATTTGTATATTACTGCATTATTATTATTATTTTGACCACGTTTCGACATACAATATATTTTCCCTCTAGGCGAACAATTTCATTTGGTTTACCTTCGTGGTTGGATCAGCAGTGAACTCGCTCATTCACTCACCTAAACCTTTTTAAACCGTATAGAAAATATTTGGAACATTCTTGATGGCGCCGTTTCATTTCGCCTGCCCTCTTCCAGAATGCATCAAAACCTGGAAACGGCACTGCTGCAGGAGTGAGAGAAATTTCCAGTAGTGTCTCACAAATTTCCTCATTTCTAGTGTGTGAAGTCAGGTCGTGAGAATTACAGAACTGTTAAATTGAACATATCCTCTTTTAGCCTCCTTTTTCCTTCGATATAGAAGGCTCTGTTTCAGAACTTCCATAGCGCATGAGCCTTAGAAATGGATCATGAAAGTTTTACATGATTATTACATTAAATCTATAACATTTCGTTAAAATGCATCCATCAGTTTATGAAATGATACGGAAATTCTCTTAATTCTGAACACATAATAAGTATTTGCAAGTGAAAATTTTTTTTTACTTCCGAAAAAAGAATAGTTATTACACTATTGTCTTAAATTCGATTTGTTACATTTTGTTCCGAAAAGCAGGTATAGGAAAAAAAATTCAACCTGCTAAAATTTCTTTAAAATAAGCTTGTTCTTTGAAAATATTCTTCTTTGAAAATATTCTAAAATGGCCTATGGAATTTAATAATTAGTAACTCAAATAAAAGATGTAGCCGCACGAATGGAAAAATGGATAAGGACTCTGATTGCCACAAACTGCTCGGTTTCGAATTCCGGAGATGCCATGGATGTAATTTGTTCATTTCTTCATAGGAGGCAGCGGCGACCCACTTATTATATGCTTCCAGAACAAAGGCCTTCTTGCGGCCAACGCAAGAAAGGATTAAGCATGATTTCATTCGCAATAATAAATGAAGGCGTTATCTTTATTGTTGCGAAGCTTAGTCTCTCTACATTGGCAACAAATCTACTATTCTGCTGTTTCAAATGTCCGCCATGTTATTTAAATGTTAGGCTTAACCGTACTTAAACAGCTTTGAAATTGTTGATAATTCTACAAATATTGCTTGCAGGTTTCCTAAAGCATAAAAACCTTAACCGGCAGATAAGAGCAATATGATTGAATCATTTTTAAAGTAAAAACTGCACAATTTACAAACATATAAAGAGTAAAGAAACTGAGCCGGGTAACAGAGTGGATGTATATATAAATATATTCATATACGTTTGGTGCGGCCGATTGCAACCAAAATACGAGGTGCACATCTACATGTTATAGGAGTCCTATATACAAAATTTCAACGTTCTGAGACTACTCCTTTTGGAGTTATACAAGATACATACGTACGTACGTATACGTATGTATACTCCGAAAAATTCTCTTCAGAATTGATTTTAAAGCAGTTTTTTAATTTTTTGGAGGAAAAGAGTGTTTTATTCTCTCCTTACGTACAGATGTCAAGGAAAAACATCGTTAAATTGCATTCGATAACGGTCAAAATAGATATTTTCGTTGAAATATGCTGCCTGAAACCTTTCGAGGTTACAATACTTCCTTTTTACTTCGTACAAGGAAGTAAAAAAACAAAACAATATTGACCTGCGTTAACTAGTTTTATAGACACAAGAACATATTTTCATTCTAGATCTGATGTCAGAAAATAAAGATTTTCGCTTTCCTTTTACATAAAACAGCACAATCATTGACATGTTATGCATTTTACTTTCACCGTCGTAATTTTTATCTCCACAGTAGTTAAATTATGATTTTGCTTTGCATCCCTTCTGAAAGGTATTTCAATAGAATTACAAGACAGAACTTAAATAGAGGAAGATAGAGCTTGGAAAATATTCTAATAATCTGAATTACAACGAGTATTGGCTCTAAAATAAATATAACTCCTATTTTGCATAAAATCCCTGCAAAACAATTGAAAGCATTTGCTCTTAGTTAGCACAAATTAATCATTTACAATACTTACATTTGAACAACAGTCTAATATTTGTGGCGATTTTCGTTTTATGGAAATACATGTTTTTATCTCTTCAATCATACTGATTAACTTGTAGAGGCATTAGGATTTTTTGGAAGCAGAAGAGATGAAAAATTAGCAATTGCACGTCTTCGCCGGGAATCGAACTACGGACCTCTGGACGGGCTAGCGTGCAGAACCACTACACCACGAAGGCACGCTAGGAAAGTGGATGGAATACCTTATATACTCTCTTTTTATAGGGCGACTGGGGTTTTAGGGGACCCATTCGCCAAATCTTGGGTGTGGAGAATTCTCATCCAACATCCTTTTAAGTTCGGGAGCCACTGTAGAGACATTAGGTGTGAAAGCAGGCAAGATGAAACATCAGCAATCGCCTTCGCCGGGAATCGAACTACGGACCTCTGGAATACCCGCCCAGCGTGCAGAACCACTACACCACGGAGATATGCTAGGAAAGTGGGAGAAATACCTTATAAACTATAGTACACAGTATATTTTCCAATTTTCAGAATGGGGAGATGCAAGCAGTAATAACTGGAAGGCTGCATAATAGCAAGAACGAGTACTTCTTGCTGAGACATCAGTTACTCAATTGTATCTTCCTGCTATATGAGTAGTATTGTAAACATTGCCACCAAGGGCGGCAGATTGTATCATAAAACACAGCGAAGCAATTTCTTCAGATATTTCAAAATACCAATATTGATGAACAGAAATTCAGCGAAGACGAAGTTCACTGCTTAAAATAAATAATTCGAAACCTTAACAGTTTTATAAATTCTTAAGATTTTCTACCAAAATTATGAACAGAGACACAAAGCGATGTATCCGACAGGCTGCGAACAAAATAAGGTTCAAAGAATTTCCCGTTTAACTTACTTATTTTCGAAACTTCATGAAATATTTTAACTCGGGTCGTATTTTTTAAACATTTTAAACATAACCCTCTGTTTTACTTTGTGTTTTACAGGAAATTTCTGTTATGCCTACATGTTTATAGCATTTTATTTTTATTACGAAGTATGGAAGTTTAAGGATATTGATACAGAGACCTAACACCGATAAAATGAAACCAACTGTGAAATCATTCGGTGCTAACCTTTAACAACAGCAAACACATTGTAATGGAGAAAAATTAAAAAATGATAAATAAACGGATATTATATTGTGCATAACTCGTCTTTATTCTTAGTTTTTTAATTTTTTTAATGGGTGTACAATGTCCATCTACAAAACAAAGCAAATTCGTAAAGATATATATAATATCTACCTGCTCAAGTAGTTTAAATACAGAATTACGTTGCAAAATTTGAGCCTTGCACTTGTTTTAAGAACGCTGCTTATTTATTTCTATAGTTGTAAGAAATTACAAAATTTGTTTTAAAACAATCCGAAACTTTAGAAACACTGACGTAGTAGAAGGTGGTGTGGTGTATGGTGTATTTAATTATGGCAAAGCACACTAGGGCTATCTGCCTAAGGGGAGGGATGCCTTTCGTGGAGGACTTTCTAAGGGAAACTGGCTCGTATACACGTTACACATGGGGAAAACCACGAAAACGCCCATGCAGCCAGCCCATTCGCGGGATTCGAACCTCGGACCGAACTACCAGTGTTCAGCGACTTTACCGCTCGGCCGCTGGTGGGCCCCGTAATAGAAGGAGAGAAAAATATGTCGGAAGGAAATTAAAGTTTAAAATATTACCATAAATGCGGTAGTTTTGCGCATGAAAATGTGTTTATCATCGAATCAGAGTATTCCGATGATAATAATTCACATGCTTACACAATAAAAAATACATATATGCATCTGTCTTGACAATCGAAGATTCAAAGGCATGTAACATATATCAATATATCAAAGAAAATTATAACTAATTCAATTATGTTTAATTTAAAAATTATCACATTTTCGCAGATATATTTAGTAATATGAATGATGCGCCATTATCATTTTATATTAGCATTAGGATATAAATGAAACAATGATAACGCCTCCTCTGGATCTGTTAAAAAGAAAAACAAAATGTTAGAAAAAGAAGGAAATTAATAATTCATAATGAAACAAAAGTTACAAACAATATAATAGCTATTACAAATATATATGAAAACATTCTGCTGCAGTTCATATTACAAATGATTACAGGTTATAAAGAAAGGTCTTCTCAGAAATCGGCGTTTCGCATAACATGGTGAAAATGGTAAACGGAGATTTTTGCCAGATATTTATCCTCATTTTGTATTATTCTCTTTTAAAAGGCTAAGTAAAATAAGCATTAATTAAAAATTCCTTCATAGAATAACATACAAAAATTCAAATTGCACACATGTTTATTAAAAATTATCTGAAAATTATCTTAATTTATTCTTTGAGTTGTGGTGGAACCGTGAGTCTCAGGCACATAGTTGGTTGGTTGATCTCGTGTCCTTTGAGACGTCAAATGGATCCGTGAGTGAAAATCACAGCTTTTCCAGTTCTACTAAACAGCTATCCCTGGAGAGGAAATTTCCTCAAGCTATGTAGAGCTGCAAGTATTACCGGACAGGTGAAGATATGTTCTGAAGAAAGCTCCGTTTCGGGGCAGTTTCTATAAGTTCTATATGATCTGATACCGTCTTCATTAATTTTCCTTCCTCTAAAACGGCAAGTTCTCATTCTAGTAATGGTCTTCGTAATTTCTCTGTTTGCATGAATATCACATATCTGATGGTATTCCTTAATCGATTTCTCTTTGAGTTTATATATGGCAATGTCATTAGCATCTTCAAGAGTGACGAGGATTGAGTTGTTGAGATTTCTTTCCTTTATAGCCAGTTCATCGGCTTCTTCGTTTCGATCGATTCCACAGGCACTTGTTCAAGATATTATTAGTAGTCCCGAAACACCTTCTGTATGATAATTAATATACATGAGTGTTTACTATTAATGAAAGTTGCAAGAATGAAACGTTTTAAATCTCGCAGAGAATATATGGCGCTAGGCAGATATTTTGTAAAATTCTAGGTTAGAATTTTATAATACACGATGCGAAATTTTACAAATTGACATGCTTAACCTTTTAACTGTCAAGTTATTTTGATGATTTAGGTGCATAAATTGTCAATTTTTTTTTTAATTTCAAAAATGAAATGTTTACCTCGCAGTCAAAAACATGCTGCGCACTTTGAAACCTTCAGTAAAATGCTGCCATCTGTTGAACTATAATAACTCCGAAATAAACTTCTCACGATATATATTCGGGTATCAATACGATGCTCTCAAAATATATTAGCCCGACATTTCCTACAGTTCTACTCGGGCATGACATTTTGGAATACCAGTGCTGTGCCCGAGATTATTTCGGGCATGACAGTTAAAAGGATCCTCTGTTTTCAGGTCAAAAATGAATCAGAGAAAAGTGTAGATGATCAGAGTGGTGACTCAGTACTTCTGTCCAAAATAACTTACTGAAAGAAAACTGTAGGAAATGTGAGGCCCTCTTATTTGCAACTTTTAAATGCTGGTCCCCGATTTCAAACATGGACGTAAAATATTTTTGATAAATTACAAAGGGCAATCCAGTCATGGTAAAAACACAGACAACATCATATGTACTAGGATATGATCATGGACGATCGTCGAGGGACTGCAAAAATTGAACCTGAACGTTTTCAGATCTTATCTCAGAACGCAAATGTTAACAGATACATGTTTCCAAATCTTCTGAAGTACTGAAATGTGTTATTATTCTATCTCATGTATCATGAAACATGGCATGATTCGTATTGCTTAAGATACAAGATGTTTCACGTGACCATTTTGCTGAAGTCAGATTTTTACATTTTTAATAATTTAGCTTTCACATTTTTACTGCGTAACAAGTTATCCTGGCGAATCGTGGTCCGATTCCCGGCGAAGGCGTTGCTAGTTTTTCATCTTGCCTGCTTCCATAAAATACCTAATGTCTCTACAGTGGCGCCCGAACTAAAAGGTTGTTGAATGAGGATTCCTGACACTCAGGATTTGGCGATTGGGTTCCCTAAAAAAACCTAGTCACCCTTTAGGGGAGTATATAAGGTATTTTTCCCGCCTTCCTAGCGTGCTTTCGTGGTGTAGTAGTTCTACGTTCTTCTTTCGTGGTGTAATACGCTGGGATGGTATTCCAGAGGTCCGTGGTTCGATTCCCGGGGAAGGCGTTGCTAATTTTTCATCTTGCCTGATTCCAAAGAATACCTAATGTAAATGACATATGTAAATGTGAATTTTATTGTAAATTTATATAGAATTATTTAAACATGTTGCAAAAGGGGCCGGAATGTTCGATTTAATGTAGCACCCTCTTGTGGCGTAAGCTTAGTTAACGTTACTTCGAACCAGCGCCATAATCTCTCGTGCTTACACCAAACACATGCATTTTTATGTTTACAGTATTTTCTCAGAAATAGAGCAGATATTTAGAAATATGGAAAAACATGCTAGGAATGCAAAAGTATGATTTTGTTCATATAGTTTTCTGCAGCATTGTTTATGCTGTTCCTGTTTTAAAACACATAATTAAACTAGATTATTGAAATGGAATAAAGCAATTTTATACTTACCTAGAACTTCGTATATAAATTTAAATCCATGCGGTCTCGAATTGTCATTTTTGAATATTATCGTAACTGGTCCAAGTAATGTATAACTTGGTGGTGGGTTGTCATCGCAGTATTTGGCCTTTTTGTTAGATTCAGCTACATCTTCCTCATATATTTCCAAATAAGCGGTCGTGCAAATGACATCTATTAAAATAGTTAATAACTTCTGCATTAAATCAGCTAAATTACAACACAAATGCCAGCAAACAAAATAATTATTCCTAAAAAATATCGTTATTTTAGGACTTGAGCAGTTTTAGGATAATTATAAGGTGTTGAGTTAACTAATTTTTAGGGAATGTGAGATAATAATTTCTAGGGAACACGTTGTAAGGATCTTAAGTTTTACTAACGTTTATTTCATTTTAAATCTTTACTATCACTTCTTATTTTCTACTTCCGGCCAGAATTAAAAGCTTTAACTTATTTATGCAAATTTGTCTGGCGAACGCCAAGTCCTTAAGTTGTGGCTTTTTGCCAAGCAAGAAGAGGAAGGAGTTAGTAGAAGCAAGCCGCTTGCCTTAGCAGTTTTTACTCGGTTGCTGGTTGCCTTCCAGGCCAGAGGTTTAATCCTCCTAATAATTTTAAACGTATTGTAGTGTTAACAGTTCTCTGTACTACATACGGCTTCCTGTTAATATACAGCCAATCTTCCACGTAGGCCCTTGTTTATTATTCCAAAGTTAAGTTAGACTTTAGTTAATATTTTTATATTCTTACGTTCAGACCACAAGTGGTTGGTCTCTGTATTCCGAAGTCCGGAAATTATTGTAAAGAGTGAAAAATAAAGGGTTTCGTATACCCTTCCTGTGTATCTTGTCTACTTCCCACATTTATTGAACATAGCTTTAGTAAGCTCCCTGTTCCGAGTAAGGTTCTTGAATGTTCCCAAAGCAAGTAAAACGGAACACTGAACCTGATAGTGGCGACCAACGAAGAAGAATAACCATGGCCGAGTTTCAAGAAGAACCTGTGCTGCCTGCAGAAGCGGCTCAGAATCCAAAAATGCCAGCTGCCGCCCTAGAAGGATTTGGTTACATCGTCCAGACCATGCGCGCAGCGATGAAACCAGAAGCAACATTTAATGGAAACTCATCGGTAACCAGTTTTTTGGAAAAACTAGATGACCACTTCATGATGTATTAGGTGCATGAGTACCAAAAAGTCACCTTAGCTACCAGCGCTTTGAGGGGCTAAGCGCTTAATTGGTTCAAATGCATAGGCAGAAGTCTCTTGGGTCAAGCAGGAAGTCCCACCTATACTTACGAAAATTTCAAGACTGCCTTAGTAAAAGCCTTCCCTGTCGTAAGGAATCGTGCGAAATTAGAAGCGGAACTTTTCAGCATATACCAGAAACCAATTGAAAATCTCTCAAGCTTTATTTTAAGAAAAAGTCACGTCTTCAAACTCTTGTATGGAAACCGTCCGGGTCCTGAGATAATTCAAGTGATTTTGCCGAGGTTACTTCCCCAAGTACAAGACTTTATTGAATTAAGGAATCCGACTACACAGGAAAAGTTATTTGAGCTAGCAATCCAGTTTGAAAGTCGAAGAACGGCGGACATTGAAAGAAGACGCCAGTATGAAAAACGAAACCAATTTGGTGAGCCAAGACCACAGCAAAGTCAAGCACACGGCTACGGAAGCAAAGCGAACCAGTGGGCAAGGAAACCCGAGCATCCAAAAACAGCCGGCGAACGTCGACAGTTCAATAGCAACCCAGGAAAAAAGTCTCAAGGCCAGTGGAAAAAGAAGGAAAGCATGGAAAGAAAAAAGGATTTAAACTAAAACGGATTTCTGCTGACGGGAGGGTGCGGAAATCCGAAGGCCAAGAAAACCCCTCTTCCTTCAAGTTAAATACAGTAATGGTGAAAAATTTGACTCTTCCGAAGATTGAAGTGTTGGTGAATAACATCCCAGCCACCGCACTCCTGGATACAGGCGCGCAGTGTTCCTGTGTGGCAGAAGATTCTTTTAGGAAATATTTTCGGAAATACCGCATATATAATTCGGATAATACGACAGTGTTAGCTGCGCAGGGAGAAAGATGTAAGTGCATAGGTAAATTACCGCTATACGTTCGTATCAAGGACTAGGAAGTAAAAATTATGTTTTTTATAGTAAAGAATCTGCAAGCACATATCATCTTAGGAATAGATTTTCTTTCAGAGGCAGAAGCAACGCTGGATTTTAATGAAGCGTCCCTTAAGCTGACGATGAAACCAGTTCGAGAAGAAAAAACGGAACCGCCAATGTTAAACCTTGACCACCGGCCTAAGGAAGAGCAACAAAGAATCCGACAAGTCGTAAGTGAATTTGCTTCGTTATTTAGTGATATTCCAAGATTTACTGAAGTTACTAACCATAGTATCGACACCGGAGATTCATTGCAGGTTCGCCGCAAAGCATACCGGTATGATAAGAATAAAGAAAAAATTATAGAATGGCACATTAGAGATATGTTACGGAAAAAGATCATAACGCCCATCTCAAGTAGTTATGCTAGCCCTGGTGGTTTATGTAAGAAAAACAATGACTATCCATTAAACACATCCAAAAAGGTGGCGTTTCGCGATTGACTATCGTAAATTAAAACTCCATAACTAAATATCCGGTATATCCGTTACCTATTATTGAAGAAATTCTAAGGAACATAACGTCTTTTACCAAATATATGACGACTTTAGACTTAACGACTGGTTATTTTCAAATAGGGGTTAGACCGGGAGGACGTGCCTAAGACTGCTTTTATAACCAAGTCTGGCACTTATGCATTCCTGCGTATGCCGTTTGGCCTTTCAGGGGCACCGGCAACATTTCAGCGATGTATGAACATTGTGCTAAGGCCTGTTCTTGGAAAGTCCACATTTATCTATTTAGACGATATCATTATTACTAGTGATAATCTGGACCAACATGTACAGGATTTAAGACAGGTGTTTTCATTATTAAATGAGGCCGGTCTAAAAGTTAATGTCGAAAAGTGCAAATTTGCAGCCCCTGAATTAAAATATTTAGGTTACAAAATATCTCAGAAAGGAATCGAGACAGACGAATCAAAAATAATCGCTGTGCAAAAGTATCCGCCGCCAAATACGGCGAAGAAGCTCTCTTCTTTTCTAGGACTTTGTTCATATTATAGGTCCTTTATAAAAGATTTTGCAGCTATTGCTGAACCATTGTTAAAATTAAAAAAAAAAAAGGCAAGATTCTCGTGGACGGCCGAAGCCAATAGTGCTTTCGAAAAATTAAAGCAAGCATTAACGCAAGCCGCCTATTGAAATTTCCTGAAAAGGATGAGAATTTAGAAATTTCAGCGGATGCTTCGGATTATGCGGTAGGAGCGGTACTTTCGCAAAATCAGCAGCCCGTGGCATTTTTTAGTAGAACTTTAAATAAATCAAAAAGAAATTTTACAAAGAAATTATTCCGCGACTGAGAGAGAGGCACTTGCAGTTCTGTTAGCAGTGCAAAAGTTCCGAGTCTATTTTGGAAGTGCGCCAATAACAGTGTATTCTGATCATGCGGCGGTAACTAGAAGTATCATCAATGCATATACTCAGGGAAAAAATTTATCCCCAAGGTTAATAAGATGGGCACTCAAGTTACAAGAATATAATCTGGTAATCAAACACAATCCCCCGGAAAGGAAAATATCGTAGCAGATGCCCTATCCAGAATAAAAATAGATGAAGAAGGTAATACTGTAAAGGTGGCAATGCTCACAGCATGTACAATAAATTCCCGAGAAACTGTAATAACCGAACTGGGTAAGGATCCTGAGTTTGGAAACATTTATGAGTATTTAAAGGATCCTGAAAATTTTTAGCCACCAAGATATTGTGGCGATAAGAAATAGGGCGGCCCATTACGAACTAATAGATGGTCTATTATTTATACAAAAAACTACGAATTCCAACAACGAATTTCGACCTGTTATCCCAGCTAGTCTTAGATTAAATATCCTGCAGGAGTTACATGACAGCCCTTTAGCTTCTCATGCTGGTATTCGAAAAAACTATCCAACGCGTACGCGAGGCAGTCTATTTTCCTGAACTGCAAAAGTTAACAAGGGCGTATGTCCAGTCCTGCCCAACATGTCAAGCAGTTAATTATATTAATTTCCGCCCGGCCGGGTTTCTAAATAGTATTAAATCCGAATTTCCAAATGAAATAATTGGCATCGATTTATTGGGCCCTTTCCCAAAAAGTCAGTTAAATAAAAGTCGGTATCTCCTTGTTATGGTTGATCATTTTAGTAAATGGACCGAAATTGTTCCCTTTAAAACGAGCCTCCGCGAAATTAGTTACTGATTCTATTTTAAATAAATATATTTTAAAATACGGGGGGCGCCCCTAAAAGTTATATCGGATCCTAGTTGGTCCTCAATTTGTAAGTAATATATTTGAAGACATGTGCCAAAAACTGGGCATACGTCATTTAAAAATGGTCCCGTATCGGCCCGCAATCAAATATAGCGGAACGGGTCAATAGAAATATAGTGAAAATTATCCGTAGTTTATGTTAAAAATTTTCAAAAAGCTGGGATAACTATGTCAATGAATTAGCTTTCGCCCTTAGGACCGCAAAACATGATACAACGGGCAAAACTCCTGCTGAGTTATTTTTAGGCAGAAAGATTATAACGCCGTTAGATAAATTATTTATGTTCAACAAAGAGCCCCAGAATTTAAAATGGGTGATATAGAAAAATTAATTAAGAAGCAAAAAAGAACACTGAAGTAGCACAGAGAAAACAGAAGCTCTATTATGATTGAAACGACGGGGAGTAACTTAAAAGTAGGAGATGAAGTATTAAAAATTAAGCATTCACTTTCTTCAGCACCAGAAGATAAAACCGCCAAATTTTTTCCACGATTTGAAGGACCATATGTCATAGAAAAAATAACTCACGCTGTAGTGGTGTTAAAAGCCAGGAATGGTGAAACATGCTCCGCAAACATTGACCAAATAAAACCATTACTATGACCGTAATAAAATGTAATATTTAAAGATCTTTTGCAGGATCCGGCACGGCAGGCACAAGCTCCAGAGGTGGAACAACGACAAGTACAAGGGCAAGCCATTAGGAGGCAGGAAGCAATTGAAAAGAAAGTTTCCCCGCTGGAAAATTGAAGGTAAA